CTTTGCCCCTAAATAAATGCCATTTTCGGTGAGTTTTCATACCCGTAAAATGTTTCGGAATTTTTATTTTTTTTTGCATGCTAAAGTCAAATTTTGATTTAGCGAAATTTCAATGTAACGAAGTAAATTGCGAATTTTACCGACTTCGTTACATCGAGATTTAACTGTATAGTGTATACTATGTCCCACTAAAGCGATATCAGTATATTCTTCGGGTTGAAATATGAACTTATTTGACTAGCTATTAAGTGAACTGCTGAATAAAAGTATATTTGACAGACAGAGAAACACTACTTCAACTCAGCCAAATGGTTCTAGCCGGTAGCACAGAGACGAATGCGGACAAACTGAAGAGAGTCTTCGTCGGAGATTCGCGCAGAACCTCTCTACCCTTGAACTTGACTTTGAATTCTGAACGGAGAAAATTAGTATTTTTTGTGGCCGGTCTACCTGAGCAATGTAGACGTATATTCTTGCTGACCTCGACGGGGGTATAATATAAATATTGGAGGCGCGATAGATCATAATGCCGTGACAGCTTCTAACTTTGCGAGACGCGTCCCCCACCTTTTGAAAGCAGATAATTTCCCTCATAAATTGTAGGCAGTGAGCAGGTTTTCCTGAATCAAGTAATTGCGAATCAGCCCAACTCCTTCAGTGTGGTTCAGAGGCTTTTTCGGCGAAATGCAGCCAAGATGAATAGCCAACACACCGACCGGCGTGGGTGGCTCAAACTTGAAGCTAATTGAACACAACCAAACTCAAGAAAAGCAGCTATCGATCCTTCCCATTCACTTGACTGCATCATTGGTGTTCCCCCAGTGAAACACCTCGTCTGTCGTCCTCAGTCCACTGTTCTACATCCTTATAAAGAAACCGCTTATCAGTTACCAAGTAGTCGTCACTTTGAATGTGATTCGAGACAGACAAGAAATCGAAACATTTTTCCGCAATTTCTCCCCATTCAAAAAATTGAAAGCACGCGACACTGTGTTGTGGAGTAAATGGGATTTCAAACACGTGATGGAAGGAAACAATCTACTGAGGCTTCACCACACTAATAAACACTCGGGCAAACTAAAGAAATTTTCGGACCTTCGTCAAAATTACATTGTTCGCCACCGCGCCGACAACACGTGTCCGCGAAAGCCACCAGAAACGTGGAAGGGCGCAAAGCGAGCAGGTCCGGCTGGTTCCCGGTTTTCCCGCTTGGTGGCGTCCGTTTTGCTGGAGTCACGAATATGCAAGAGGCGCGTGGATAGCAGACGTTGCATATTCCTCCATGCACATGTGCACAGCTGCAGATAGTATTCGGCGTTTATAAAATGCGTACAAATTAAACCAAGCTGCTGATTCGGCAAGACAATCGGTAATGCTAAAAAAGTACCAAAAAGTCCTGGTTTTCCAGGCGCTGTGGTGTCTTTTTTTGCCTAGCTCGATTGATGCCAAGTCTGCAAATGCACTTCGTTCAAGATACTAAAAACATTTAGTAGAGTGTATGCCAAGGAATGCGAGCCTTGCGGACGTGTGCCCGATCCATGCTCAAAGCGATGGCACGAGCGCCTGCTATAGCAACACAGTCCGTGCCTACAAAACTCTATATACACGCAGGGAGAGCTGCATTTTATCGTGTGCCTGCTCTCAGCTCTCACTGAAATAAACGGGTAAATAATACCATATTTACTCGCATAATGAATGCACTCGCATAATGAACGCACCCCCAAAACGGGCATCAATATTTGGACTTTTTTTTCCCTCGCGTAATGAACGCACCTCCAATTTTCAGCTCTGCGAGTCTCAAACTGCGTTTAACCCAGCTAGCCACCAAACCAATTTTCTTTTGCCGCCAAGCGGTTAGGCCGAGTCGAGTCAAGCCAAGCCAAGCTAAGCCGCTCTCACAATGGCTGTGAGCGTGTAGTTGCGGAAGTGATCAACCGTGAAACCGAGCGGCGCGCACACCTAACGAAGCTGGGGTCGAGGAATTGCCCAGCCCCAGACACCCTTCGCCCATCGAATGCATCGATGTTAACAAACACGCCATTGTCTGTGGTCCGCTTTCGGACAGTGAAATTGTGACAGTCGTTAAGCCTAAGAATGATCGCGTCGCTCTTCGTGCTGTGCGAGCTTCGTAGGGCACTTTCCTTCGGCAAAAGGCACGCCGAAAGCGCCCTAGAAAAGGTTTACAATATAGAGAGCATAGTTACTGTGATGCGGTCACGATCAGTAGTGAGCACGCCTCCGTCAGTGGAGACGTGCCACAGTACGCTGCCATGTTGTTTTGGCATCTAAAATGACATTTCTGCAAAGTGTGCAAATGCAAAAATTTTACCCTGTGCACAGAACGCACCCCCCAAATATGTGTGAATATATCGGGAAAAAATGTGTTCATTACGCAAGTAAATACGGTATATTTTTGCAGTGCATGCCGATGTCCAAAAATACTCAAGACAACATAGGCATTTTTTTTTTGTTAAATCATCAGCGTTCAGAGGAATTGGAGAAAGCTTCTTTGCACCCGAGCAATTCCTACTCTGCTCGAATTATTACATTCGCCGATCGAGATGTCGTTCCGTGCTTTACAACTCCCATAAAGGTGCAGAGGATGCTAGTTTCTTCACGTTAAAAAACAAAACTGTCTTTATATTCCAAAATTTTTTTTCGAGTCTGCCATATGCAATAGCTAACAAGCACAGCACGGCAAGCAGGAAAGCCCCTAAAAGCGCCTTGTGGACCTCGCACAAACATAGTGGCAGGGGGCGTGGCAAAGAAGGAGGACAAAGAGGATTGCCCTCGATGGAAACGAGGAAAAGGCGGGGAGAGGAGCAATTGCACTACCTTTCAGTATATAGGGACCTTAATACAAAACCTTATGGTGCGTCTGTAGCACGCCTAGCGGCCAGTGGCGAACGGCGCGCGGCATCCAGATTCACCGCTCATCTGTTCCATGCTATAAATATTCTTTTAAAAAATGTAAGAATGTTAGCCATCAGAGACGCAAAAAAACACTATCCTGAGTTACACAAAAAAAAAGCAAAAAGTATTTTCCAGCAAACAATGACACCTGCGGTTTGAAAATTCTGATACACACAGAAAGAAACTGCTGGGAAAATGGACACAGAGCAAGAGAATATTGGAAACAACTAACACAAAGGAAAGTTCTTAAAGCAGGTGTCATATAGATGCATGACTGTGAAGATGCCAGAGCAAAAGAGGGAAGGCAAAAATACTGAGTGTGAGCATGTTAGTTCCAAATTTTCCACAACTTTCATCAGTGCAGTCCCAAAGGGGCATTCAAAATGGATACAGTGCCAATTTATAGCAAAACCTGCTGGGCAGTGCGAGGAATTCAACTAGCAACATCCCAATCGGTAGCAGCAAGTGTTGCTTTGTATACACAGACTCTGCAATTGGTTCCCCACCGAGGTAACTGCTAAAATGAAGTCTTAGCACTCTACAGGGTGTCAAAATGAAAATCTTGGAAAAAGTTACTCCACACAACTTAAGGCCCATTCAAACACTTGCGTCTGCCTACGACCGACTGAGACGAGACCGGTTTTCAAGCCTCTTGTGACTGCTCACGACCGGCTGCACAGCAGTGCAGAAAGTTATATGCCCTCACAAGAAGCTTAAGAACAGGTTTCGGTCATAAGCATGTGGACCACCCGTTACTTCAGTACCATAATCCGCAGCAGCTGAAAGAAATAATGGTGTAAAAGTCGAAATTGCCAACCTTTTTTTTTTTAAAAGTCAAGATTGATTTCTGGCCATTCATTAACTTTTGGCATGCTTATATCTTCCTTCCACATAGATAAGAGTAGTATCAAAAGAAAACAATCAAGACATTTTTACAAACATATTAGACCTCGCCTCAATAAGCACACCTCGAGCAAGTTCAAGTTTAGAACAAGAGCTAGACCATGACCCAATGTAGATTCAGATGCAAAACATAAAGTAGCTGCTCTGAAATTCATTAAACACCACCTCTTATTTATTGACCCAGCCTCTAAATTACAGCCTAGGGAAAAATCATTTCCTACACACCAATACATTTGTGTGATGACAAATGATGGCATTCCGGCAAAAGGCTGGAGAGCAGTGCCAAACAGTCTGACTGTGTAGCCAACCAAGCTGGAATAATGATAGAAGCTTCTTGGATATTGCAGGCATTTGAAAGGCCTACCTGCTGCAGGCTTTACGCAAATGTCCTTAGGGTTTATTAACCTCATTTTTAGCATGTACTTGATGAGGCAAATGGCCTCGAATGCTCCTGGAATTTGTGAGGTTTAATGCAAAAGCGCATCAGTGCAGTGAGCTTCACCATTAATCTGAGCAAAGGCAATTGGGACCTATCTTGCACTCAGGTATATGCATACTTTGTTTCAAAAGGCATAAAGTTTTGCACAAGCTAAATGATTACACATACGGCAGGCTAAACTTACATGTCAACCACAGGTATCTCACATTTTTGGGGCATTGTTTGCACTTGTAAGGTTTCTAAAATGGGACAAGAGTAACTTTTTTTTATTTTTCATTTATCATGCTGAAATTTAGTATACAGATGTACTATCACTGGTGATTTCAAATATGCAATTATAAAATTTCAACTAGGGCCTCCTCATGGGTCATTAGCAACTAATTAAGACAGAATAGTAATTAAAATTATTGTATGATATATAAATCAACAAATATAGCCTCACCACACAAGCATGCCTTAGTGAATGCAATTCTATAAGAATTTCTGATATATTTTTAAAAATGTTACGCTAATGACCCGTAATGAGGGCCTAATTAGAATTACAAATTTATTGATAACTCAGGATCTAGTAAAGCTATATGAAAACTAATTGCACATTTGAAATCACCACTGAGAAATGCACCAGTATACTAAACGTCAGCACGATAAATGAAAAATAAAGAAGTTAATGACCCTCGTTTCCCTTTAAACACCGTTTTCGATAATGGCAGATCAGACTGGTATTATAAGAAAAGAATTGGGGGCACTAATTGCACTTAAATGGCTTTTCACCTGTATGCGTTCGATTAGGGCTTTGCAGAGAGAAATTTCGAGCAAAGGCTAGGGTAGAGTCACTGAATGGGCTCCCAGAGTAACGCATTCCTTTTCTTTTTGCGTTTTGCCGACAACATACTCACTCTAGCCGATCATGTTTTGGCTTGGCGAACATCATTGGACGGTAGCGATCACGTGACACAAGCACTGCCAGGCTCACCTCCATCAGCGCTTCGAGCAGCTCTAATCCCCACCATCTTGGGTCCAGCAAACAACTGCACACTCGAATGCTCTGCTGCTCATCGAATGCGTATTTACGTGCAGTCTTTTCCACGCGGTTACCGACGTCAAAAGCAAGGAGGTTGTGTACTTAGCGGCACAATGCCTGCTTGTTGCGCTTTTGGGTGCAGCAGCAGGTCGGAGGATGGAAGGAGGCTCTTCCAGATCCCGTTTGCAAAGAACGCAACTGCAAGACAGAAAAAGAAGGCTTGGCTGGCCATAGTAAAGCAGAAATATTTCAAGCCCACTGCAAGCAAGCTCTGCGAGGTGAGTGGCAATTACACCTGGTTCATTTTGCGTGTCGCGCAATGAACCAGGCTGTTTCAACATGCTCCAATGCATGTCACTATTGCTTTCATAACACCATCGACGCGTGGACCCAAGATGGCGGCGCCATGGTTTCGGTTTCAGCGCCGCAATTCTAGAATGAACCTTTGGAGTTTCGTTACTTTGGGAACCCATTTGGTGACTCTAGGCTAGGGGATACTGCTTCCACTTAAATCGCTTTTCACCCGTGTGCATTTGATTATGGCTTCAAAGAGAATTTCGAGAAAAGGCTTGGGGGCACTACTTGCACTTAAATGGCTCTTCACATATGTGTTCAGTTATGGTAGATCAGAATGCTACTCTCAGCAAAGGCTTGGGGGCACTGCTTGTACTTGAATGACTTTTCACCTGTGTGCATTCGATTATGATTTCTCAGAGCTGAATAATGAGCAAAGGCTTAGGGGCAGTGCTTTCACTTAAATGGATTTTCACCAATGTGCATTCGTTTATGCCTTGTCAGATAGGATTTTCTAGCAAAGGCTTTGGGGCACTGCTTGCACTTAAAGGGCTTTTCACTTGTGTGTTCGATTGTGGTAGATCAAAATGCTACTCTGAGAAAAGGCTTGGGGGCAAAGCTTGCACTCGAATGGCTTTTCACCAGTGTGTGTTCGAGCATGCTTTGTCAGAGAAGAGTGTTGTGTAAAGGCTTTGGGGCACTGCTTGCACTTAAATGGTTTTTCACCAGTGTGAATTCGATTATGGCTTTGCAGATAGAAATTTAGAGAAATGCTTTGGGGCACTGCATGCACTTAAATGGCTTTTCACCACTGTGCAAATGATTATGGCTTCTAAGATGGGAATTCCTAGCAAAGGCTTGAGGACACCACTTACACTTGAATGGCTTTTCACCAGTGTGCATTCGATTATGATTTCTCAGAGTGGAATTTTCAGCAAAGGTTTGGGGACACTGCTTGCACTTAAATGGCTTTTCACCTGTGTGCGTTCGATTATGGCTTTGCAGAGAATAATTGTGAGAAAAGGCTTTAAGGCACAGCTTGCACTTAAATGGCTTTTCACCTGTATGCGTTCCACTGTGACAGATTAACTTTTTACTCTGAGCAAATGCTTTGGGGCATTTCATGCACTTGAATGGCTTTTCACCAGTGTGTGTTTGATTATGACAGGTCAGAAGGGAACTATAAGCAAACTCTTGGGAGCAAAGCTTGCACTTAAATGGCTTTTCACTCTTGGACTTTTGAGAGCTGCCAAGCACTTGGGACTTAGAGCCAGACATGGGAGGATGATGGCACTTGGATTGTTCATCACCATGGGCAGCCAGGTGGTACAGAATTGCACGTTGATCTCTGGTTACATAGCTGCAGGAAAAGCATCCAAACCAGATGTCTTCAGTGACTTTCAGTGGGTAACTGGTTTCCCCTAACAATGTGGCTCCATCACCTACAAGAAAATATCATATGTATTGACACATAAGGAAAGCCCAACCAAGGTAGCCAGTTAGTCTGGAAAAGTGTAGTCATTCATGCAGTTTTGCCACAGCTGCAGTATAATATTTTGCTGTGCTTTGGAATTCGGTTCACAGAAGCAGTCAAATGCAACTAGCACCTTTAAGGGGAGTCTTCAGTCTTAAAAAAGTAAAAATCATAGGAAACAATTTGTATTTTTATTTCTAAATTACACTTTACTAATCTTCTTGCTTTGGGAAGTATTTCGGTATTAGAATTTTTTTGTCACAAGTGTAGTCTTGAAAAGTGAAAATCTGGACGAAGCTCCATCACCTAGAAAAAAGACCATATGTATATGGAAAGGACAACCAGAACAGCAACTTAGTTTGGCAAAAGAGTAGTCATTAATGCAGTTTTGCCACAGCTGTACAGTTTAATATTATGCTGGGCTTTGGAATTTGGTTCACAGAAGCACTCAAATGAAATGGCACTATTAAGGGGAGTCCCCAGTGTTGAAAAGTGAAAATCATAGAAAAAAAAGTTTTATACATTTTTTTATATTGACTGGTAATCACACTTTACAAAGCTTCCTGCTTTGGAAAGCATTCCTGTCTTCTCATAATTTTTCTTCTCTTTCTTCTGTCAGAAGCAAATCCTATCCCTGAAAAGTTAAAATCTGAATCTTAATACTTCCTGGGGGCTGGATACCTCATTATTCCAAACGGAAAAAAAACAATATTTCTGGAGACTGTTAGGTATGACATTTTCTAATTGGCCTGTGACTGTTCCAACTATGACGGGTCAGATCGAAAGTCTTCTTTGAAGTTACCAGTAAAGGAATTTCAACATGTGATGCAGTCATGTCTCACTATTGTAGGCCCAATGCCATATAGACAATTTTTGGGGACATATTCCTCCCCGTGCTCCGCCTTGTGAATATTAAAACCCGCAGTCCGGACTATGGACAGATAGTCTTGGGAGCAAACTGTTTCAATACATGCAGGCAGACTTGTACGTAATTTGTTACAAGTAATGAAATTACTTGTAGTCCATTACATTTATCAGTGATTTAGTAACGGAATAATTACATATTTTCTAGAGTAATTGTAAAGTATATCCCTTACATTTTTTACGTAACAGATTCCTTGTAATCCGTTATATTTTTTTGACCAATCCCCCCTTTTTAAAGATTTTTTTTTTGGCCAAGTCGAGCGCAGCGATATTGTTCCGCGAAATGACCAGCACAAAGGGAGGCTTAACACTCTCTTCAGTTCTGCAAAGTATTTTTTTTTGCAACACCAAGCCCCTGAATCTATTTTTTTAGACACTAACAACAATTTCAAAAAATTCTAAATGCGCATTTCTATAAAAAAAAAGGAAGGGGGCAAGTTACATCCACTTTTTTTTGTTCCTTTGTTTTTCTTTGTGATCAAAGACTGGGAGACGAGGACACCAAGGGATTGTGTGCCTCTTCGAGAAGCTCGAGGCGGTAAGTGCACAGACAAGGATTAACAATGTCCTCGACCATTTATTAATGTCACAACACGAGACAACGCTCTGTCTACCCTAAAATCCCCTAAAAGAAATGTGATATGTGAAGGTGTTATTGCTACAAGCATCCTCGTTCGTTGCTGCGCACTTCTCATCTTCTCTTAGAAAACAGGAAGTATTGTTTTTCTGTTTCTTTTACCTTAATGACCTTGTTTTAAAAGCTACTTTCTCTTTTGTAACTTCTAGGGTTGGCCCACTTTATTTGTGAATTCCAGCCAGGTTATCTGCATCTCAGTCACCCTTTTTGTGAGTCAGATTTTCACGAGCACTTCGAAAATGGTAAGTCTTTCTTCATTTATTCTTCCTGTTTTTACCTCAGCAGGATGCATCCTATCTCAAACAGATATTTTTAAAAATGAAACATGATGGTGGCTGACATAGACTAAAGTCACTGGATAGCCAGTGACTTTAACGTAGATTTGATATTCTGGGCTTGAGGGGAGAGTGAAATTCGTGAGTGGGGCCATAGAGCGACTTAGTACTCTGCCCTTCGCTGCCCGTGGCATCAGCGGACATCTATCCGGAGAACACCGGAGTAAACTGCAGTTGGTTCGTGCTCCGTGCATTTTTGAACGGCACCAAGGTACACACGACAAATGTGCGTTTACATTTTCTTGTTTTAACCAACGTTCTAATTAATTGTTGTTATAAAAGTAATTTTTTTATTACCTATATTTATATACTAGGAACTTTTTTTTTATTCACCAACGCCTCCACCGAGGCTCGAACTGTTCAGAACCAAAGAAAACGAATATCAAGCCAAACCTTATTTATTATTTAATTATCACCATACTGGGTCAGGTATGTTTTGCTATTGTCCGGCAATATATGGCGGTATAGTAAGATGGACATAAATCAATTCTTATTCTAGTTTTGGCTCAGGGTGTTGGAACGAAATGTTTTTCGTTCCGTTTTTATTTTCGTTCCATACAAAAAAGTTCCGTTCCGTTTCCGCTCCGAAACGAAAAAATAATGCTCCGTAACGGTTCGTAACGGTTCCTTTCTATGAAAAAAAAAATCGCAACAAAAATTAAAAGGAACGTAACGTTTATTTTTAGACAAAAATAGATAATTCAGGCGCTCTAGAGGAATCCGCGGAAACGACATTGCTTCTGAGATCATGTTCATTGCCTTGAGAATGAGATCATGATCAAGGCACCGAGCATGATCTCAGAAGCAGCACGTCATCAAGTGTGCTCGGTGAAAGGCAAGACCTCTGGTCCGATAAAATAAATTTCAGCGCCGAGAAGGCCCTGAAGGCCCATAGGGATGAAGAAGTACACTTTTGCAACAGAGTCTCAGACTGCCGTATCCGTAGAAAAACAAAAGATGGACTTCTACAACGCCGGGTCACAAACTTCCCGCGCTTGCCGTGATCTGTTGTCTGTCTGTGTCGTCCGAAGAAAGCATGGAGGGAGAGGGCGCAAGAGCCAAGGAGAGCATTGCGAGCGTGTGGAGGCGTCGCGCCACCGCGCTCTCATTGGTGGGAAGCAAGGAGGTTAGAAGTACTAGGAGGGGGCACATTGCAATATTGGTGAAGCCTAGTCATAAAAAGTTTAAACGATTTTGTGCCCAGCGTGACCGCAGATCTGTCTGGCGATTGGTGCGCGTGACATGTCACATCCGAGATGGATGGTTGATTGTAGGAGGATCCTTGCAGGCTTGCGCGCGCTCCGTCCGGTAGGTTTTATCAGATCGAAGGCTAGGGTGTGGTGTGTTCTAGTACATGATAGCTAGACGAAGGCTAGCTATGGTCACGTGGTGTGGTGAGAGTAAGGAGGAAAATGCGAAAGAGGAGAGGCGTCAAGGGAGCATGGCTTGCGGAGGCTACGCGGCTGACGTCATGCCCTCTCCTACCCTTCTATTCTCCATGGTGGGAAGCAATGGCGCCTTGCGCCATGTTTTTTGTTTCTCGTTGTATTTTTTGTCTTCGTTTTTGCTATGCTTGTTCGCCCGGGGTTTAGACGCGGGGGCGATGGCTTGCTTGTCTTCTCTTTAATTATGGTACAAACCAACGGCAGTCTCTTCGCTGCGTGAAACGAATTACTGAAATACCTGATATTTTCCCTTGAACCGAAAACCGATAAGAAAATTTTTCGGTTTCACTCCGGAACAAAATAATAAATAACGTTTCGATTACGTTTCCGTTCCGCCCAAAAATATCGTTTTTTTCGTTTTTCGTTTTTGGTTTTCGTTTTGTTCCGATACAATGATTTTGGCTAGATGTATGATGACTTCTACAGCTGTGCGATTTCGACCTTTGAGAATTTTAGTAAATCGTTCCAGTGACTCCGATAACAATACCCGATACTCCGCCGCCCCCTTTATGCATTCATCATATTGTTATCAGAGGTATCAAAACGATCTACTAAAACTCTCGAATACCAGGCAACGGCTGCAACGACGAAGCTTTGCTCTATCTTCGAGGTAAATAGTACTCCCATTACTTCACTGAAAAAGCTCAATGAAGAGCATAAAACATTCGTGAGGCACAATATGGCACTTCCATCCAGTGCCTCAGTTCAAAGGGTGTTCAGCGTAGCAGTCGACATATTGAGTAAGACATATTGACGCAATATGTCCGACGAAACTTTCGAGAGTCAGCTGTTGCTCAAAATACTCAAGGTCATTAAATGGAACAGGTGGCAACAATAAGACCTTGAATAACCCTTTCCCTTTGGTTTTAATTGAAGACAATATTGTTGAAAGTAATGCCACGAAAGTAACGGATTACTTTTTGGGGTAACGGTCACTTACTTTTATGAGAGGGTAATTGTAATTGTAAAACATTATAATTTAGCCTCGAGTAATTGTAAATGTAATTCCTTACTATTTTTCAGTAACGTGCACAAGTCTGCATGCAGGTTTGTCTCAGTAGAATCAGAAGGGGTGTGTCAAAATGATACACCATGGATCAGTGAGTGTACCTAGACCATATGAGGCCAACAATAAGCAGAGCTGCCCATTGGGCCTCTGTGCTGAAAGTTTTGTGTCCCCATGCGACAGTGCATTGAAAACCATGCCATTTACACGGGAGACACTCAACCAAGTTGGAAACAAATCAACTGAGGCCATTGTAATTATTTTGTTACTGGGAAGTGAGTGCGTGCACGAGCTCACGTCGCTTTGTTAACTGCCCAAGTGTCGTGACAGTTCAAACTGGTCAAATGCTACCACCAGCGACTCGACGGGCATTCGGCGGGTTGGCATTTTGTCAAGCAACCTTGCGCCCTTATGTGATCTTCGTTTTTAAGAATGGAGATCCGTTCTTGTACTGCCGAAATGTACTGATGCTTTTTTTGCCGCGTCTTTTTGCTCAGTTTTTAGCTGTTCCAGCAGGCAATATGCGCTTGTTCGTAAGTGCTCTTCGACATGGACTTACGAGCTAGCAATATGCTAGTTCTCAAGTTGTCTTCGACGATCGTGCATGAAGATTATTGACTCCCTGCTCGCCCAAGTGCGTTGTGGTGCCAAAGGTGGCATTCACTGGAGGCCATAGTTCAGTCAGTTCCTGCTCAGCGCGAGCTTACGATTAGCTTTCACAACGCTTTCACAACATGCATGGCAGACCACAAAGATCGTAGTCCTCAGAAGAGAAGCGGGGCGTGTTCTGACGCCTGCTTTCGTCATGGTCCCTTTTCTTTCTCTTTTCTCAAACTCTCTTTTCGGCCGGCAACTTTATGGACGTGTATTATTATTTGCTATAAATGTTTCATATCTGCAAAAGCAAAGCAGTAAAAGAGCAGCAGCATCTTACCTGACTGATTGGAACTGCTATTTAAATTAGGCCTGTCGTACGTTCTGCGGTATCGCAATAGACCATTTGCTATATTACCCAAGTATCTAGGAGAATGCAGGGATTGGTGTTCCACGTGCCACACGCGCACGCCTTGCCCGTATAAAAGATTCGAAGTAAAGAACCAAAATAAAGAGTTGACGAACGCGCGTCCAAGATACAATTTGTTTTTAGGTTTTTGCTTTAGAAAATTTACTGCTGCTGAGGCCAGCACGTGCGGCGCGTGGAACACCAATCCCTGCATTCTTCTTGATGCTTGAATAATATAGCAAAAGGTCTATACAAACTTCGCAAAACACGATGGCCACGCAGTTGATTGCAAGGGTCGCCATCATGCTCAAGCCGGTAGTTCGGTTTCGCCGTAGACATGTGTAAATGTCTACAGCAAAAGAATGTAAACAAAAGCATTCTGCTTTAACAAAACAAATTATTATTATTGTATTATTAAATGTCTAAAAATAGAGTCAGCAACTCTTCATGCATGACACCTACGGCAGCATATGCCTCAAACTAAAAAGTAAATTTATTTATACTTTTCGTTGTCTGAACGTTTGAAAGCAGCAGACAAATTACTCTTTCAATCAATCTTTATATGCCAGCCCCTCTACTCACTGGAAGAGTCATGTGTGTGCAACCTACATATAAAAATAAAGCGAGGATTCCTTGTGTTTGCGTGAAATCGACGCATATTCGAAGTGACTGGCCACAATTGAGCCCAGTGCTACGCTCGACGGCCACGGCCCGCGGAGTCTTTTATTTCGTGGAGATCCTTCGAATCAAAGCCATGCAGTCAACCGCAAAGCACTATGGCATCTTCGTAACCACCATCACGCAGAACACCACAAAACACCGATTGAATTACAAAACACAAAACTTTACCAAGATGTTGCCTCTTAAAAGCATCAGACGAATACCCGAAATGGAAAGGATTTTCCAACCCTGTCAAGGGGCCAGAAGTGCCCCGAATACAACATGCAGGAACTTAACACTTAACTTGCCCAACATTCACTCACCACTGCCATGAACCTCCTGTAAAATTCGTAGTTCATTGCTTTCGTCTTCTCCAAGCCCAACACTTTTCACCATGCACATCTTTTTCTGGGATTTGAACTTTCTGTACAGGCTGAGAGCCAGAGTTGCGCGTTAAGCTACCTTGAAATCCTAAGTGATGCAGCAAAGCCGCTTCTCGCACGTGTAGGAGCTGTGCTCCGTCGATTGCGGCCGGTCACGTGACTGAATACGGCGAATAGCGGCACCGCACTTGGAAAACAGGGAAGGAGGAGGAGGAGGCAAAAGCTGAGTAAGAAACGCTGGTGCGCGTGCGCGAAACATTGGGGAATCGACTTTCCTGCATGGCGCAGGATTCTTTGCTCCTCACATGATTGATCTCGGTGAATATCAGCGCGGTGGCACGTGGAAAACAGACGCACAACTATGAGTACCTATAAGGGAACTATTTCGACTCTACTGAGAACGCCTCTTTGGCGGAGGATCTCAGAATTAGCATGGACCCTAGTGGTTTGGAATCAGCTGTACAAGAACTGCCCTAGACTACGACCGGCCATAGTCAAGCCACCGCCACTCTCCTACGTTTATTAAATAGGTGGAAACGATGAACTTACCATCACTCGAAGGCTGATTCGGTTCCATACGAAGCGTTGGATGGGGTCAGGCTCCAAAGGCACCCGCCAAACGCCGTCTCACTGAAGCCAAGCCCTTTCCCACGAGGCTCCCGTAACTGTAATCGTGTTGAATGTTGAAAGGTTAGTGACCCCCAAATGGGTGTCTGTCGTCTCTACTCTAAATAATAAATTCTGCCAGCGAAGTACAACCGCTAGCCTGGGGTCCTTAAGGTCCATACGCACATTCGCGTTTGAACGCGTTTGAGTACGTTGCGGAGTCCTTGCGGCCAGGCGCGGTCACTTGCGGAGCGACGCGCGCCTTCCCGCAACGCTCGGTAGCGCGACGCAAGCGAGTAGAGACTCGCTCAACTTTCCGAAGCGTTGCAGTGCGTTCAAGTGCCTTCGACCAATCAGAAGCCGAAAGAGGAGAGGGGGTGACGCGTTCGCTCGCCCCACCCGGCCGACTCCGTGAGACGTATCCGGCTCGCCGGTCGCAGTGCTTGCTTTTTCATTTTGGGGAGCGGTGGGGACTGTATTTTCCAAGGCTGCGATGCTTCAAGCTTGACTAAACGTCGAGGAAGCCGACGAGATTGTCCCAAGATCGAACACTTCGACGCTGTCGCTGTGCGCCGCCATGTTGCCTTAGATTTCGCTAACCATTGGTGAGCCACTAGCGACGATAGCACGTTCTTATTGGCTCTTGACTGCGGTTGAGTGCGTGTCAACACAACTGTGCGTACAAGTTCGGCGCAAGCGGTCTTCGCAACGCAACGCGTCCCCTTGCTGCTACGGAACGCACCGCGCTCAAACGCGATTGTGCCTATGGGCCTTTAACGTGCATCGGGCAGTGGCAACACACAACCGGACGCCGGTAAGATGCTCATAAAGATCGAAGCTGGCAGGGGCGGGAATTAAACCCTGGATCCCCGGGTTCTGCAGCACGAGCTTTCATCCACGTTATCCGAGATGTGGTGCGTTAACACATCTGGTTACCCTCCACTCTCGTAACCGAGTTCAGAGCTGGGAATGAGGAATATTTCTTGCCAAGCTGAAGGCAGGCCGCAAACACACAAAGAAGGCAGGTCTAGAACTCGCTGAAAAGTAAACAAATACGTAACCTTCAGAGTAACGTCAGCCACAATGAGTTTTAACGCAATGTCCGCTGTCGGTTCGTCTCTTCAAATGTTTCGAGCGCTGCTAAACCCTTTCCGCAGTACTAGCATTTAGTTTACAATGGAGTGACATATACTTTGATGCTCGAGTGCCCAATATTTACGAGACCTAATCGCTGCTCCTATACTCGGTGTCAACTATTTCGTGCTACATTGTGCAGCCTAGTGTAGCTTCCACAGTGCTACGCGAGGATCGACAACGTAGCTCAAAATAAAATAGATGATGCCAGGCATAGTAATAGACGTATTGCTAAATTACCCTAGCATCAACGAGAATGCTGGGAATATAGGTAAAGACGCCCCACATGCTCGCCTTCCCTGTATAAAACATTTGAAGTAAATGACTAAAATAAGGCTTTTACAAACGCACAAACGAGATGGCATATTTGTCTAAGGTTTTTGCTTTAAAACAGCTACGGCTGCAGACTCCAGCAGATGCGCTGCGGGTAACTACACTCGCCGAATTCTTCTTGGTGCTTTGGGTTCGGGTTGACGGCTTTCGGTTCAGTTCCGCAAGGAGCAAAGACAATGGTTCAAACCAACTTGGAACGCGAAATTGAGAATTATTTTTCCCATTGTTTTGGCAAAAGGCTATATTTTCACCGTGAAACGAGTAACTATCTATGTAGTTTTCTTTTTATTGTTCGTAAAGTCTACTTTTATTTTCATGTACCAAAAATAAGAAATTGCGTTACTTAATTTTTACGCAACAGTAAAAAAAAAAATCTGGACTGACATTTATAACGCTGTGTTTATACAACCCAACATCCATTTATTTACCTCAGTCACATCTATTTTAGCTGAATCGAAAGGGTGTCACAAAGTGTGGTAGGTTGACAAAAATAGACGCGATTGATACAACCTTTCGTCGCAGTATTAAGTTGGATAGTAGTTGTGCTCTTGAACTAAGCAATCAATTACAGTGCATAAAATCACGAAAAGGCCACCTCGTTGCCATATCGTGTAATATAGTTTACGAAATAAGTTTAATAATATTTATGATGACACAACTGAGCTAAAAGCAATAATATTTTCAAAATGTCACAAAAGTTTAAGGACGAGCCCTTTCAGTCTGCCTTTTATAGGAACACTGAGCGGCAATTGCAGCTCTCGCTTCCTTAAACAACATTGTTTATACTCATTAATGTTACGCTGGAGAAGAATCATGCAGAAAGGAGTGATCCAAATTGTTTAGTATAATCTATACACACCTTCGTACTCAGAGCGAGTCTGGCCTAAAAAAGTGCGAGCCCGAACGAACATTCTCTTATAAAATATCAACAACATAGCCTGGCTGTTATGGTATGTGCATGACAAGACACCGGTCAATTTAATCTGCAAATTAGCACCCCCCTTGCTAATCGGGCATTTTCTGTGAAATAGAACAAAGTAGAATTTAATGCTCTACTCAACACGGCAGCTAGTTAATTAGTCACTTTCTCATGGCTTGTGTGCATAATTGCCATAGTTCCGCCACGCACCCCTGTGTACTTTGCTTTCCTCCAGCCCACACACATAGATAAGGTTGCTGCTCATCCCATAAAAGAGGCAATAGCATACTTCTATGTATTTGAGAAGCTATACATGTGTCAAAAGACAATTCATCACACGCCAACTGGTAGCAGGGCTATTCGTCACATAGTGCACTAGGACAATTCGTCAAACTGTTAGCAGATATTTCTAATATTTGTATCATTTCTGATGTTTATCGAGCATACCGTAAAAAACCACACAAGCGCCCACTATTAACATTTGCCAAACTTGGGAATTCTGCAAAACATACGTTAAGCGCCCACTCTCTCCAAAGCGCCGTCATCAGGCGAAAATATTCACCTCGTTTCAGCTGCCACCAGATTGCCAGCGGCGATGATGGGGATATCCGCTTTCTTGAGATGAAAGGGAAAAACTACTTGTGATGAGAGCATTGGCCCCTATTCTGCACTAGAGTTGTCTTCTGGGTTCAGTGACAATGAAAAGGTACTAGTTTATTTATTTTCACATGATAAATGATGACGCAGACCCCATCATTCATCATGTGAAAGTAAATGTGCTTTCTCCGATTCCGTTCACCCTCCCTAAATTCAAAGCTCTTTATTGATCGTCATCTTGGTTTTTACCGATTTGACTGGACAAGTGCCCATTTCTAGATTAACCAAGTTTTCAGTGAAAGTGGGCTGGGCGCTTCCTCGGTATATTATGGTAGTTCTTCCAGGTGCGTACAATTACCAGAGACTCCCTTTTTTTATTTAATTACTTTTTTTCTTGACACAAGAAATTAGACTTTTACTAATTTCTAATAGATACCAAATCATTGTGTCTTGTCCACCACAATTTTGGCACCTCTGTCACTAACAAAAAAAAAAGGGATGGCAAACGTTTCGGTCACACATGTGCAGTCCCTGTCTGTGTCATGCATGCGCTGAGAAAATGTGGAGGTGGATTACAAAGGAGACCAGAAAGTTTCTATTCTATGCTTCCAAGGTGAATAAAATGTTTATCAACCTAAAAGAAAACAAAAGACTACACTTTCTCAACAGGACACTACACAGAAGCTGAATAACAAATCGACTGAATGCTAAAAAGGCTGGTACAAGATCTTTAAACATTATCTTTGGTTTTTCGACAAGTTGTCCCTGTCCAAATCGCCTTATGATGAATTGTCCTTTTTGACGAATTATCTTTCAACGAACGGGCTGTATCGCCAAGAATCAGAAACACAGAGTTATTTAAATCAGCTTCAAAATCAAAAATTTGTTTAAAGTTCTTTTAAATCACTTATACACGTGCCTGTCGAAGATAAAAATGCCGCAAAGATTTTGCGGAACATCTTTAAGATAATTTAGGTGTTCATTTACTTATGATGTTTATCTTTAAGGCTTATCGGCCCTTTATTTTTGTTGTCAAATCTTAAGTCAGTAATGAAATATATTTTTTATTACCATCAATAAGTTCACTTATGAAGTTTGCATAACCACTTCAGACCGACACGGGAGGACAATACTCGAAAATACGCCAGCTGTTGAGTATGCAGAAACATTTTTCGTTCGCTGTTTGGCAGTGCGAAACCCTGGCTGCAGAGTATGCAATAAAAGACTTTGTGATCACATGATAGATCTGAAGAAAAATACACGACATGTGCAGAAACAGAAGGATAATAAATTAAATTCTTCAAAAGAATCAAATACATGATGCTTACTGCAGAAAGAAATACATAAATATGTACTAGATAACAGAAAGTATAAAACAGAGATAACTTTCTGTTATCTAGTACGATGCACTAGATAACTTTCTGTTATCTAGTGCATCGTACCAACACGCTCGTTAGGAATATAAATATGTATTATGATATTCCTATTGTGGGCCATGGCTTCACGAAATCTGGAGCAACTACCCAAAGTATGTTTCACCATAAAAGAAAAACTCTGAATTTCATGGACGATAAATGAAATCTCCAGAAAACTGAATTTCAGGTAAAAACTAAACCCAGAAGAACACACTCCGGTTTCACTTAAAAATAACCTTACAAAAGCAGAACCCTTGTTATGTCACATACTTGGTGCCAGTGGGCAAAAAATAAACTTTAAGATGCTCCGAGCCCTTCTACCTCATTGTTAGGTCCACACGGCAATGCACTCAAGTGCCACTCAAGATAAGATTTGCCCCACTTCGAGCACCATGAATGCCAATAATGCTCAAGAGAGGCAATAAGCTCTGCCTTTTCTCATGATGGTCATCAGCCCATGAGAGCAGTTGCACCCTGGGTAACGGTTACCATTACCATTTGTCCAGTGCTATCCAGTTTTCTCTGGTTTCAGAGGAAACCAGCTGGAAATGGAAGACGGGCTGTTGGAAACGA